CAGCAGTCAAAGGTGAAAATTGTGCTGTCAGGAAGTCAAGAGGAAGATTTAGAAAAATGAGTGGTTAATAGTGTCAGAGGCCATTGAGAAAGGCATGGAAAAGACTCCTCTGAAAGCTGATAATTAGAAGGTCGTTAGTGTCTTTCATTTGGTCTGAAGCCCAATTGCACACATATAAAACTATATGTTACAATGTGTCATTAAGGCAACACTAAATCATATGGTATTAGAAGAAAAAGAAGGAATGCTTTTGGCTGGGGTCACCAGAGAAGGTTTAACAGGCCAACGTACATTGAACATGGAACATGGTATGTAGACTTTTGACAGGTGGAGTCTTGGTGAGAGAGAAGTCTAGGTTGAGTAAGGTAAGGTGTGGAAGTGGAAAAGGGCATAGCTGACTTGGAGAATTGAGAGTAGCCAGGTTTGTTGGAGAATATGATAGAAATGTAAGAGAGAAGTGATAAATTTGCACTTATAGGGTGATAATATGAGGTGGATTTCTTTCATCAATAGCTATTATGAAAATACATTATTTTAACCCTCAGCTCTATTTATTAAAATAGAATGTAAGAATTTCATTTCACAGTACCTTTATGATTTTTCTTAGTCTTTTAAAATATTTATCAGAAATTATTTTAAAGCATTTGGTTAGAAGTGAAATTAGCCAGATTCTCCTGAAAACTTCTTTTGTTCAGAGTGAAAGTTACTTGATTTCTTTGGATCTCAGACTTCTTATCTCTAAAGTAGATTAGGCTGAATTAGTCCCTGGATTCCTCCAAAATATGATTCTATGATACAGAAAACAGTATTTTCAAAAAAGCACCAAAGTGTAGTTATTGCTTTCATTAAAAACATTGAAGTCATGAACTCATTTTTATTAAACTGGATATAAAATTCTCACTCACTGTTTTTATGTGGGACTTTCTAAAGTCTAAGTTCTTTATATAATTTTCAAATAAAATCTGAGCTCTACAAAATAATTATTCCACAGAATCCAATTGCGTTTTAAAAAATACAGGTTAGCAGATGATATGTAACAAATTAGTAATTTGGGGAACTCCATAATATTATAACACTTTAGAGATGCAGTAACTTTAAGGTCATTTTGTCCAGTTTCACATGAGGAAACTAGACTGTAGAGACTGGAGAGAGATTAAGTGATTTGCTGAAGGCCACGCACCAACTTGGATTCCACCGTGCCACTGTTCCTGGTCCATGGACGAGAGTCAATGGTGGACCAGTATGAATATTTCTGTCTTTCTGATGATGGCTAAACTCTAGTTTCCATTTTTTTAAAGCCGTTGGTTTCCAAGTAAAGGGAAATTTAAAAGTATATGTATTACTTGGTAATATCTGTGTTAATGGAGACCACTGAGAGCAAAGCAAATCTGGTCAAAATTTCATTTTTGACTGCTTTCCTATGCTATGTCTGGACCCTTCACCAACCAGGTGTAACCGTGCTGCTCAAGGACAAGGACCCAGACCTCTGGTCCAGAATCCCATTATAAAGGAAGGTGTAGGGAGAAGCAGTCATTGACCAGCTTAGCCTTGGACTATGTGACAGTGTCGTGAGACTGTATCATGATATAACAGTATCATGAAATCCTCCCACATATACACCTTTTAAAGAAGCACCATCATAAGGACAAAATTATATGGGGGATATTTTGAAGTGTCATAGATACCTTTAAAAATCTCAAGAAAGTAATAGGCCCTTGCCACCAGTAAAGTGACATGCATTCCAAAAATTTGCAGACAAATTCAGGGGCTCAAACTGAGGGTCACTGAGGGCAAGATCCCCAGGGATCACATTTTATCAGCAGTCCAGGCAGTACTTTATGGGGAACCAAGTGGCCTGCACACTATAGCTGGATATTATGAACCCCCTCTCTTAACACCACTTTGTGTAACTTTATCATTCAGGTGGAGGCTGACTAGTAACTGTTGGCCATATGTCCCCACAAGTGCACAGCTCTTAGAGAGGAGATCCTTTCTTGAAATGAAGTCATCTTAAACTCTGTAAGGATTTGGGGTACAAGAAGTTTACTGCTGCTGTGATTAAGAGAAAGTGCAAAAAGTACCAGTGGCTCTAACTCAAAAAGTCACACTAGCTTAGGACTATGACTGATGGGCAGAATGGGGCAAAGGAAGGGAAAGAAGGTCGAGAGGAAGGAAGAAATGGAGGCAGTTAATTTCAAGGACTCTAAAGTAGCAGAATCATAAAATTCCATAACTCCATCTTCTCTTCTGTGACTGGTCATGAAGAATTTCTGTCTACTACAGTTTCCTGGTAAGATCAACCACCATTCTCAGTTTCCTGCCAGGTAACAAACACCAAAGGGAAAGTGGACTAATTGAATTGTCCTGCTTTTAAAAATATCTGACCCTTGCTACAATATTACTCAAAATACAAACCAATGTGAGACTCAGTTCTCTACGGTACACCCTTTCTTTCAAAGCAAACAAACAGTTCTTATCCTCAAGCTCACGTCATTATTAGTATTTAAATACAAAATACTTATATTCTTCTTGAGTTCATTTTAACAAGACTGCTGTAATTGTGTCAACTGAGGTTCTTAGGACCATTCTTTGAAACCAGAACCAGTAGATTCATGTGAGAGAGGCATGAACATTTCCACAAAGGTCAATTGCTGGACTCTTGAGTCCAGTATTTCTGTGGAATGACATCCAAGGGGTTAAAGGCTTTAAAATGACTGCAATCATGAAATCCATATTTCTCTTTAGCTTAATTTTTAATTTGTACACTATGTTGAAATTCTGTACGAGGAGAGGATCAGCCTACGCAGCTGCAAATATGCTATTGCCATAGTGTCCATGTGTCTGTACAGGATGGATTTTAAGGAATGGAAATAGAAATGATAAACCATAATATTCTTATCCAAGTCCACCTTTGACCTGAGGTCATTGAAACAAAAGTTGGAAAATTCCAGAGCAATGGTGGTGAGGAACAAGGAAAGAGCTTAATGATTTTACTAAGAAATAGTTAATAACTTCCAGAGTTTAGAAAATTAATTACACCTGAAGATATAATTTTAGTTGATCACTAGAGTGTTTATTTTGCCTCATCGCAAAGACCAGATACCATAGATATATAAAATTCATTACTTTGCAAAATATTTTTATATCAGACACAAAAATTCACCAGCTCAATCTTTACCACTAAATACCATATCTGCATGTATAGGTAATGCTGCCCCTAAATATTTTGTGACTGAGAGAAGTTAGAGTGGTAGTTTAAGGATATTACCAGCTGAAGTCTTTACAGGTTGGGGATGGAGATGAGGATGGGAAAGGGATTCCTGTCGCAACAAGCAGTAATTTTGCAAAAAGAAGGGGATATTTGGGAGATTACAAAAATATGCATGTGCTGCTGTCCCACCACTGGTGCCTGCTGTAGATACTGAGTTCCCTGATACTACGATATGGCTTCTATCTGCATCTTCACTCAACTTTGGAAAAGTCCTTTCTTTGCTCTCAAAACCTCCATTTTCTTCTATCAAAATCAGATCTATGGGCTTCCCTGGTGGCGCAGTGGTTGAGAGTCCGCCTGCCGATGCAGGGGACACGGGTTCGTGCCCCGGTCCAGGAAGATCCCACATGCCGCGGAGCGGCTGGGCCCGTGAGCCATGGCCGCTGAGCCTGCGCGTCCGGAGCCTGTGCTCCACGACGGGAGAGGCCACAACAGTGAGAGGCCCGCGTACCGCAAAAAAAAAAAAAAAAAAAAAAAAAAAAATCAGATCTATGACTAGGACATCTTTACCTGTTTCACCTGGCTTTCTCTCATTTCCTATGTTAGGAAAAAGAGACAGTATATGTTATGAAGTTAAGCAAAACTGGCTGATTTCTATCCCAAATTTCATAATTATAGAATACTCATAAAATGCTAATAATTTTGAGTAGATGGACCAGTTAACAAACCCTGTATAAATTAAACCAGCAATTAAATTGTGTTGTATAAGGTGCTATTCTTTCAGTATAAGATATTTTTCAAAGGGACCTGGAGGTGAAATCAGAATGTGCTGGATGCCATCTGAGGAGCATCATTCAATAAAAAAAAAAATTTTATGTAAATTACTTCAGTTAAAAAAGAACATTTCAGGGAGATCAGCTCAGTGCTTTGCGACCACCTAGAGGGGTGGGATAAGGAGGGTGGGAGGGAGACGCAAGAGGGAGGGGATATGGGGATATACGTATGCATATAGCTGATTCACTTTGTTATACAGCAGAAACTAACACAACACTGTAAAGCAATTATACTCCAATAAAGATGTTAAAAAAATAAATTAAAAAAAAGAACATTAATAAATCATACAGGAAACACAGTATTTTTAAAGTTTTTCTGTTTTTTTCCTGCGTACATACTCATTTTAGGAAATTCATAAAATTCAGAAACATACAAAGACAACAATAATAATCTTACCACCCAAAACTGATATCTAAGAACATTTTGATACACAATAAGTGTATAGGAACCTCAGATTTAATGTGTGTAGTTTTAACTATTCTTGAGAAACCCTAAACTCATTATATAATCTGTCATAATTTTTGCTGTTATAATCACGAGTCCACTTCTGAGTCTGGTTTGAAATGAGTGAACATTGTAGCTAGTGATTGTAACAGCCCAGCCTCCTCTCTTTATTGTGAGTCTGTGCTGAACTTGTTGTATATAAGCAGTAATTAACAAATTTATACTTTACTGCGTGTGGCAGAAATGATACCTAAGGAACAGTCACACATTTGGGGGGATCCAAGTTTTGCTTGTGAATGTTAATTTCTATATTTACTTCCCCATCTTTTTTGTCTTTCAGTCTTTTAATAGCAAAATATCTTTTTTTAAATTCTAAGAGATAGAATTGTACTTGAAAATTGTCAGCTTCTATAGATGTTTTTACAATAGAAAAACGTTTTCTTCCTGCCCCTACGTGGGCAGGTCGATTTTCACTGAAAACAACTTCAAGCTGGTTCTAATGTTTACTCACTTATGCAGGTGCGTTCATCAGCATGGAGACTGTACCCCGTATCACATGCACAATGGAAGGTGCCCAGGGTGTTAATACAGCGCTGTTGGCAGCCTCCACTCACTACCGTACATTCATCAACATCTAGAGGAGGAAGACAGATGGTCAGGATTACAATGTCATTCCAATGTCAGCTTCAGAGAAGTGGCACAATATTTCTTTGATACACAGTATATGTTTTATTGCACAAAGGCACCATCTCTGTTGCCACAGTTCTTTGCCTGTTTGATCCATTTTACTCTACAGTATAAATAAAAAAATGTAGATAGAAACTTTATTGAGCTTTTGAAAGCCCAGCAACGATGAGCATAGTGATTGTCTCACAATTTTCTATTCTTCACATCCTGATTAATTAGACAGATCTGAGATATAGATATTTCCTTAGGGAAGGGAACCTGGAGGGGAGAATTACAATGAGCTACCCTATCTGGAGCAGCACACACGAGTAGATAAACACCTTTACTGGTCTGACGCTGCTGAATAAGGTCAGTAATAGAGTTAATACCTTGACTCTCCTTCTCATGGGATATAGTGGACATTAGGGCAGAGACAGATCAATTCAAATAAAGCCATGGTTTGGAGTTCTTAAAAACACATGGATACATTTGCTCCGTTAACTCAGATTCTTCCTTATCTTTCAGGGCTCCACTTTCTGAAATACTTAGCATGTTTATGTTTGAAGTTACATTAATTTAGACTAAATGAAAAGAGGTCAAGACTCATGGTCACCTATGTCTTACGATCAGTCAAGTTTATGATAAATGAATAATATTTGTCTTCCTTTGGAAAGGAAAACGAATTTATCTCTTAGAACCTATACTTCCTTGTACCCTATACAATCAGTTCTGATATATCTAAAATCACAACAAGAAGATATCCACAAACACAGGGAAAGCTTTTCAGATAATCAGTGATTTTTCAGATAATCAGAGCTTCTAAATTTTCCTGTTCAGAGAATCTGTTTTGTGACATGTTCCAAAGTAAAAATCAGACAGAAAGGTCAAGATTTAGTCTGCACGTGTCTCATGCAGAGAATGTCCCTGACTCCCCTGTCCCCAGTTCCAGACATTCTGGCAAAGACTGTTGAGTATGAATATTCTTCACTAAAATATGTTATCATAATAGATAATTAGCTTTACATTGAGTGAGATTTAATTCCACAGGGCAAGATCCTTACTCGAGAAGACATCAACATTGGGAAGGAATACTATTGCAATGTTTCATCATAGGCCCTTTTCACACTGAAATCCTAATGAATGTTTTGTACTGTAGGTAACATTAGGGCATGTGACCTGAGAGAAGCACAAGAGTTTTCTTTTACTTGGCTTTTTTTTTTTTTTTTTTATGAAGAAGAAAAAATATGAAGAATATAAATCACAAAATAAGTCCCACATTTTAAAATTACTAGTTTACCATATTAAACACATTTTACACAGTCTAGAATTTTCCTTCTAAAATTAGATATTCTGGAGTAATTCTGATATTTTAAAAGGAATCTTATTTTAGAGATAAGAACTACTGACTTTTCAAAGTGTTAGAATTTTTATTAAATTTTGAGTCTGTGATAAACAAACCACTAATTTTTTCCATATAAACTAATATCAAATCAGAATTCTCCATTTGTAACTTATACTTTGTGCAAGGCTTTAATAGTTATGCTACCTAAATTTTTATCTTTCTAGCTTTAGGGTATTATTCACAGGGTTGAGATATAATTTTGAATCTTAATTCTGTCAACCCCTGAATTATATATCCTTCCCAGGTCTTTTACTTTAGACATACAAATAAAACTCTTAATTCCCAAGAGTTATATGTTTTTATCAACAAAACAATCAATATATCAGCATTTGCCATGTCAAAATTTTTTATAATATACCATATATATGTATTTAAATACATTAAAAATGTCTTAAAGAGTGTGCACAGATAAAATGATTACTTCTGAGGAGGGAAGGAAGGTATCTGACTGAGTAGAGTGCAGGATGTGTGTGTTGGACAAGGAATGTTATCCACATCTATAATGTTCTAATTTTTCACAAGAAAGTTATTCAGTTACTACTTGAGTATTAAAAAGTAATTTTGAAAAAGAAGTATAATAAGAACACCTCCCCTTCCCCTTCAAGCTCCAATAATTTTCTGGCAAAAGAAACCAAGTTAGTGTAAAAGAGAAAAATCATTGGGTTCATTCCAAAGATTAGAGTGGACATTGATTTTAAGGATGAGTATTCTTTCAGTATGTTTTAGTGTGTTCATATTCTTAATCTTCTCCAGAACTATAATTAACGTACTATAATCTATTAAAAACACATACACACTAACAAACAAAAGCAAACCAAACTTCCTCTGTACTCTGAGTCAGACAGTCTTGGGAAAAATATCTTAGTGTTGAAACTTATTAACCTGTCACTTTGCCTCTCTGAGACTCAGTTTCCTCATCTGTAAGATGGGATAATAATGACTGCCACATGTACTACGCTCTGATTTATGTTTTCCTTTCCTATTCATGTATAAGAGATTGGAATAGACTGCTAATGCTTGAGATTATATGTAGAAATCAAACAAGCAACGATAGAAATACTGAGAAATGTGGGAATTCAGGGAAGGGGAAATGCATTTGGGCTACAGTGATAAAGGAATGTTTGAGGTAAAAACTGAGAATTGAGTGCATGGAGAAAAGGATGGGTAATCCAAAGGTGCAGAGGTTTAAACGTGCAGTGTCTGAGATTCAGTATTTAGACCTGTCAGGTTGGTGAATAAGGTTGACAAAAGAAAGGAAAGTTGAAAAACAAACCTAAAATCTTCTTTTAATTAATTTAGATAGCAAAGTCTTCCTCTTCTTCATTTACAATACCATACACTTCTGGGCAGGTTGAGACATAACAGGCTGTGTTCACAGTAGTTAAGCAAACTTACTAACAGTTAAAAAAATCAATCATTTATAGAGTGGTACCAAATGAAAAGTAATTGGTTTGACTTTCTTCTTCTTTTTTGTCCTTTCAGAATACACTGGATTTGCTGATTGTTTGGGCATTGTGTAACCTACCATTCTCAAATCCGGCAGTGCGTTAGAATCACCTGGTGGGCATTTAGAAATACCCAAGCCTTGGTCCTGTCCTTAAAAACGTCTGATTTAATTGGTCTGGGGTAAGACTTGGTAATCAAATATTTGAAAATCACCTTTAGTGATTCTAATGGGGAGCCAGAGTTGAGATCCCCTTATGTAGTTAGTGTTTTAATCTCCTAGAGATCTTGTTATAACGCAGATGCTGATTCAGTAGATCTGGGGCTGAGGGGCTGGATTTTGCATTTCTAATAGATCCAAGGCAATTCTGAAGCTGTGGTCTGTGGACCATACTCTGAGTAGTGAGCCTGAGTCCTCTGTTCAACTGCAAATGTCACACGGATCACAAATGTCATGATCTGGCTCAACTTCTCAGCTGTTTGACCAAAGCAGACCAATTCAGTTCAAATAGATAAATCAATACTCTGACCAAAATAGTGTGTGTATATACATACATACATACATACATATATACATACATTAAATTATTTACCAAAACCTCTGAAAAGAAACCACCCATATTTCCCACACTATTCACTCAACAATAGTTAATATTTTTAAGACAATGTTAGCATTATCTGTTATGAGAAATGACTTTCTTCTGTAAAACGTGAAGGACATTTTAGTTCTTTTCTGATGAAATACCTCTGATATAGGATAAAACCGGGTTAAATTGCCATGATATTAGACACTCATGCTGAAGCCGTCACAAGTGATTTTCTTTTCCATCAAGATTCTGCCCAACAGAGTTAAAAACCAGAAATGTCAATATTACATTAAAATGTTATTATGAAGTATACTTCATGTGGAGAAACCATTTCTCCAATTTTTCTCTCAGTTATATCTTAATGTTAGATGCTTACAGAAAGCCCTGCCCTCAGAATTGGAGCTCCAGGACACTGCTGGGAATAATGATAAAGTGATTAGAATTTTTTCAGCATTATCCCTGTGATATGGACCAAGGATTTGATGATTTTTATACTGTACAAGAATGTCAAAAAAGAATCAACTATGTCTGCTATTCTTCCTTTTTAATGTCCTTTCTCTAAATATTTCTGCTGTATTTATCCCCCAAACTATTTCCCCAGATGATCACAGAATATAATAGCTTAAAAGAATTCACACTATTATCAAGTGTATTTTGCACATAAAAGCTCCCTGAGACAACAAAGATCCACTTTTGTTTCCAAACAATCAAGGTTGCTTTATATTATTTTTTTAGAGTGTGCAGCCAGGGTAAGATAAATTATTCTTCCATTTGCCTTTTCATATAGGCGATATAGGTTTCTGTTCTCGGAAACCTGTTGATTGGAAATAAGCATTGCTTTATGTTAAAGACCGCAATACAGAAGTGTTAGATTTGAAGGAAATATTAGAGGGTGTGTTGAAGACTCCACTAGATTTTCTAGACGTGGCTTTACTTTCACTCTGTTCTATTATACTTTCACTCTGATATGCAATACTGCTGACTTTTCCCTTGTATCTTAATTCTGTAGTTCCTGATCGGATGAACTCCTTAAGGTCAAGGATCCTGTTATATCAAGCATTTTCTGGAATAGAGTTGATACTCCATAAATGTTCTGTGAATGAATGAATGAATGTGTGGTTTGAGAGCCATCCACATAATTCAGTCTTCTATCCACCCATATTCATCAATGGGATTTCTTAGAAATGGGCTCTGTTCCACTTGCCCTCTCTTCACCCTTGCAATAGACTATGGATATTTGTTTTTGACCCTTCACAAGTTGCTTTAAAAACTCCAGGGCACAGAGTAATTTTTGTTTGCTCATGAACAAATTTAAATTGTGTCTATAGTGAATATTCACAGGTTGGCCATTTTTCTTGTTCACTAATACTCAAGAACTATCAGGTTTTCCTTTGGGGAATTTTATCCCTGTCATTTTAGAGAAACCATGTGGATTATATGGGACTGACGAACACCACTCCTCTCTCAAATCTGAGGTGGACTTTTCTTGGCATAAACCTACCTCCATCTGCCACAGTGACTGGACCAGGTAATGTC